TTACCATTGACAGACTTCGCTCAACACATTGACACACGACCTCACCTTGAAACACATGATATTCATTTAGAAGAGTGAAAGATAAGACTTGAACATAATATAGAAGTTCACAATATGTCAATGATTGTTCATCTAGTTCAACAGCTAGTTTCTGCGGATGTCTCATTACTCGATACACAAACTCATGATGGATACAAGTGAGAGCAGATGAAAATGATATTTGTGTATTGTTCAGTGATTGCATTAGATATTGTTCATTTGATAATGTTAATGATAATTCATAGATTGGTTTGTTTATTTGACTGTCGATAATAGATGCAGATAATTGATGTAAGATGGAATGAAATCGTTGTGAAATGTTCTCGACTGTCTCTCGATTGAACAAGTCAAGTGATGCATTGATTGTGCAGGACAGTTGATTCATGTTCATATCATGGCAAATAGAAAGAGAGAAGTCGGACGCACTTAGTCTTTCATCTTCATTCATATTGAATGGGAAAGGTGCTGGAACAAGCTGAGAATCACCAATCATAATTGCATTGTTACTCTTGTATGATATAAATTCCAGAGATGTATCAAGAAATACAGGATTTGATATATTTGGATGTTGATTGAGAATACGTTGAAGAGGAAAATAAGAATACTTCATACAATTTATCATATTATTTTGAACGCGCTTGGTAAATTTATGAAATGATAAATGAGGATCGAGTTGACATCGCAAAGGTATCGCATTCACAAACATTCCAATAATAGAGTTAAGTTCATCTCTATATCGACCATGTGTATTTATTCCAATACATAAATCGTTTTCTCCATTGGTTAATTTGAATAAAAACACATAATAAGTAGCAAGCGCAAGTTGTTCCAGAGATATATTATTTGATGATGCATGGATAAGAAAGTCATGTGAGAGATCTTGACCAAAATCAGATGAAATAGTTGTTCCACGGCCAGTTCGATGCTCGTTTGAGAGACGATATCGATCAAATGGTAATGACAAAGATTGATCAAGTTTACAGTCTTGAAGAGCATCAAGCCAAAACATACTTGCACCAGTCATTGACATTTGTTGTTCAATTGCAGCATCTACATAAGTAAAAAATAATGTGTTAGAAGAGAAAAATAGAAGTAGTATCTATATTTACAATCGATATAACGTAGAGTAGTGTTGCCATCATAAAAT